TAAAAATTAGGATTAAAATATCATCGTTTTAAAATAAGTATTTTGTTTTCTGCTTTACTTTTATGTATGGCCTTCGGATCGGATTTAAAATGGGTTGCATGGATGGATATATTCTCATTCATATTAATAGGGCATCCACACTTAGGACTTTAGATAATTGCATCATATACCATGTCCCGAGGAGAAATCATTGTGCTTCTTCAACTTGAATGACCCAACATATATTTCTACTTAGATGGTTGTCTAGCACATTTAGGATGTTAGAGACTTCCCCATCCCAGACGTGGTATAAGTCATTTGTGGGATTGTTTTCAGCCTTGTAGATGGTCTCTCTTTTCTCCATTGACATGAAAACTATTTATTTAGCGAGTATAAGTCCCACCTCTTTGGGCTCTACCTCTATAGGGTCATAGAAGTTAGAGTTTTCTTCTTTTAACCTTAGCACTACCAAGATTCCCTTGGATGACACAATTTATAGATTGCTAAAAATGAGTCTCTGGTTGAAATAATTTACAGAGTACATGCTAAATTTATATAAAACATAACAAGATTCACATATAAAGAATATTATAAAAAGGTAAGAAAATTATAAATACATCATATATAAGTAAGCAAAAATAAATAAACTCTTGAAGTTTTTATTAAAATGTTATTCTTATAGCTATAATTAATTAATAACAAGTTAATATTATCAAGTTTTTTATTATTTTACCATTAATTTATATGAAAATCCTGCTTAAAATTTATAAAAATTTAAATAATATGCAACCATAAATTTTTTTACTTGCTTCTCGAATAATAAATAAATGTATGTGTGAATATAATAGCCAACTTTATCTCCTTTGTCATGGAATCTTAAAAAACTTAGAACTACTTTAGATTAACCATAAATGGTATTAGTCTTGTAAAAAAATAGTTCGTGAATGATTTCTCAAATATCTCAAAATCTCTATTAATTTGATTTCTAATTTTGCTTAGGAAACATTATCAAAATATGTCAATGAATTTTAACTCAAATGTTACTCTATGATAGAGTGCTAGTGTTAATGAATGAATTTGCCTCAAGCTGTATCGATGGTCATCATCAATGACTTTAGATTCCCACGTAATCAAATTTTGATTAGCCACATTACAGCGTCACTTATTCCTTGAATGTTTATCATATAGGACAAACACAAATACTATGATAATACGTTTCCACTTTATGAGGGCTTCATTGTAACTCTTATTAATTATTATGATGAGGTTATGGAGTGTATTCTTTTAGATGTACTCAAACAAACATTAATGGTTTATGTCAAAATTTAGACTGCTACAAGTATCGAATTAAGCAATATCCACATAATGTCTGAGCCCTTAGTTGAACTTTCTTTGGAATACACCACTTGTGATTGTATTGAAAATTTCTTAACATATCTCATGAACTACCAAAATTATAGGTATGGTAGAAGTAACTTTTACAAATTGGTTCCACTTACTTATAATATAAAATGATTAATTAAGCTAATTGACTTCTTCTTTCGGTTCGACGAGAAATTTATATACATGATCAACTCATTATTGAATTTTGAGAGAGGTTGATCATGTAAATGATCACACTCAAGTTACTCAAACTAAATATGGCTATGAGATAATGGATACTAGTACATGTGTTAAATCTAGCAACAATGACACTGAAATTAGGATATACACGTTAGTAGACATATCCTCAACTGAGATAATTTGACATGGTTTAATTAGAATGCATTTTGAGGCTAACACAAATACCTTATATGTGATGATATCAATAAATGACTATATATGTGCATGTCGTACAATTGATTAATGAAATGAGGACACAACTTTTGATTGTCTATCATCTAATTCAAACTCATCGTATGATGGACATCCTTGCTATGTTAGTCAAGAATTTAGTTTTCCATAACAAAGCGGACTTGAAATGCATAATTAATGGTTGATACATAGTTAACAATATAAAATATAATAACATTAATTCTAATGGAAAGTCAATTATCCATTATTTGAGTGCACAATGTCCACCAAACTTGATCATGACATTGGTGATTACATGTAAATAGAATAAAGAGGATTGCGAGGGTATAAAAGATTTTAACTATAACGGGCTATTACACATATGTGCATAGAATTTTGATGGGTGGTCATCGATAGTGCACCTTGAAGTTTATTTATTATTTCATTCACCATCTCATTTGATAAGATCATTCTAAAACCTAAAATCTGTTTGATCATATGGAAATGAAATTTTATGTGTGAATTTCATATATAAAACCTTCGAATGTGAGTAGAGTCATAAAGACCATCTTTGATAATTGGGAGGATTCATACCATTTTTTACTTAAGTTAATAAATGTCATTTTGGGTTTATATAATGATATATTTTTAGAATTCAATCTAATAGTACAAATCATTTCTAACAACTTTTTTAACCTTTCACGCCCTACATAGTGAATAAAGCTATTACAAGCCAGTTTAACTCTTGATGGCACGTTGCTATTAGAGAAATATCAAGAGTTTCACTTAGTGTGGTGAGAGTCGAAGCAAAGAAAAATCTCTTTCTTCTTAGCATTTATGGTCGTAGAGAAAGTAACAAGTCATGGTTCTAGTTCTTAAGAAATTTGTGTGAATTTTTACCTATGTTTGAAACTTGAGCAGACCTTTTCTAATATTTGATCACCAAGCTGGGATTATTTGTGACTACAGAGATATATATTTTTTTGTGCAACACCTAGAATTTTCTTAAGACATTTCAGAGAGAACATTAAGAGATCAATTAGATAATTGGCTATTGGCGATGTTTAGATATTCTAGAAGATATATCGATAAAAATTATTGATGACATTTGAATTTTAAACGAATATATAACCAACATAACAAAATGCCAAACAAAATGTGGTTGCAAGAGATACAATGAGATGGAGTTTAACACATAATGTTAGACATAGATATGAACCAATCATCACCAATAAATTAGAATATTTTAATAGATTTTTTTATCATGTAGAATGACACAATATTTAGGCATTGATATGCTCTATCTAATAGAACATAGTGTCATAATTTATTAGAAGATGTAACATAAATTAGGACCTTGTGGGGGCTAAGAAGTTGCATATTCGCACATGAACAATAAGTGCAATTCAAAGATACGAGAATGATGATATAATGTTTCTCGAGCCTACCGATATTAATATTTATGAGTATATAAACTTTGACTTTAGTTGTAGATCATTTCATGTGGATTTGCATCCAAATTTGTGGCAGTCTGAACTCTCATCCATCAATGTATTTCCTATTTTAGCCTAGCGACCTCAGAGTTTTGCCCCATTAGTGTAACTTTCTAGCATGTCACCCATTCCAAGAGTGCTCCAGGAAAACCACACTTAACTTTAGAGCTTCTAATGAAATCTCATTATTACACCAAAAGGAGCCTCGATGTTTAAGAGTCCGACTTCAATCACTTGAAGGGTTTCATAATCTTCCCAATTAAGTACACGACATCTCGTTATGGCTTTATACCAAGAATCGTCCAATGAGATTCTAGAGGTGATTCCCTATATATTCAATAGGTGGATCATATCATGTAACGCTTTGTCACATCCAAGGTTCATCAGGTGGCTCTCATGGCATACGACTTTGTTATGTATGTTACTTAGCTCCCATCTAGCTGGTGTTATGCTCTGATACTATTTGTGATAACTCAAACTCTCACCCATCAAGATATTATCCACTTTGACAAAATAGCCTCACAATTTTGCTCCTGTAGTGTAACTTCCCACGAGATCACCCATCCTGAGAGTTCTCTCATACGAGCTTTCTTAACTTTGGAGTTTTTAATGAAATTTCATCATTACACTAAAGGTGCCTCAATGTTTAATAGTACAACTTCATTCTACTTTAGGGGTTTGACAATCCCCCTCCCTTAAGAAATTGACATTCTTGTAAGTGCTCGCACCCCTAATCATTCACCTGACATATAGGACTCTAGAGGTGACCCCTACAGATTTAAGAGGTCTCCCAACATATTGCACTTTAGCTCATCCAGGGTTCAAGATGTGGCTCCCACGACATAACAATTTATTCTGTATAACACGTATTCCCATCTTCCAACTAGTGTTATGATCTGATGACATTTGTGGCAGCCCAAACTCTCACCCATCAAGGTATTTTTCTCTTTGGCGAAATTACCTAATTGTTTTGTCCCGTTGGTGTAACATCTCAAGAAGTCACCCATCTCAAGGGTGCTCCCATTGGAGTAAGCTTAACCATAACTTTAATGAAATTCTACTGTTACACCAAAAGGAGCCTTGATGTTTAAGAGTTTAAGTTCATTCTACTTAAAGATCACATGATGGGAGCTGCACATGCATGAACCATAATCCTCAAGATTATCACATGCCATGTCCTTATGCAATAACTGCAACAGTCTACGTACATATTGACCATTGATTATATGTGCCACAGTATTACACAATTAATTGTTTTAAGTCTGTACTGTTTTCAAATCATCAATGTACACAACTTCCCTCAAACACATTTACCAGACATGTCCATCAAATGATTTACAATGAGGAATGCAAGTGGGGCATCTCTATATAATTTATGTCTTCAATATTTTTCATCCATGATCTTCTTGATTGACAGCAAGTAGAAGCTCTTCCAAATCACAGTATAAGAAGTAATTATAGATGTCGACTTTCACACCACTTAGCTACCTATTGTCAAGTCAGTGTTGCAAGAATAATGCTTCATATCTTATGCAACAATTCACAACGGTTAACACTATGAATATGCTTGAATATTTAAAAGAGCAATAAAATCACATATAAGATAAAACATGCTATATATAACACTGAGAGCAGTATGTTTTTTTCCTAGACATTTTAGAGGAAATACCATTTATGGGGATTTTACATACATAGCATGCCAAACATATCTAATTACATATCTCACATCCCAAATTTTAAATTTACAAATAAAGCACCTAAAAACGTTTTTAACCCTCAACACCTGTGAAAACCCTGTAATTTGTTGTTCGGTAAAGAGAACAAGCAAGCAGAGGTCTTCTCGCATGCTGCTGTGTAAAGAGAGACGACAAGCAGCTTTGATTGTTTTTACATTAAGACAAAGTGGAGGAGATGCAAGATTAGTGGTTGGCGGTGATACATAACAGCGAGAGCAATTGGAACTTCTGGTAAAGATCGGAAGCGGAGGAGTTCTTGTAATAACTAGGGTTTGAATTGTCCTGCTAAACAGAGGAAGGAGATGGGAAATGAAGAATCAATGCTGCAGCTGAGAGAGAAACGAACCAGATTACACGTCTTTTATACCTTACATTTTTATTACTTTTTTATCATACTTTTTTTAATTCAATAAAATCAAATCGCATCTTATGAATAATATAAAATTTATATTACTATTTATAAATTAAAAATATTAGTAATATGAAAATTATTTCTTCAAACCTTTTATTGAATTACTCATTTTCTTTAAAAAATATTATTATTTTGTTAGCATAACAGAATAAAAGTAGTTATTATTATGTGGATATAAATTAATAGAAAATTTATTTTGCAACTTTTTTAAATATTATCAAAATATATTTAGTATTCACAAATCTAATATTAAAAATTCATCAAATAAACCCCTTTTTAACATATTAAAAACCCTAAATACTAGTTAATTCATTTCAAAATAGTAAACTTGTTATTGCCGTCATTTCAAGGAACACTAACTTGAAGCTCAATGAACAAGTTGAGTCAACCTAGACCAACATCTATCATTTGTGGTTGATTAACATACAATTCATAAAATATATCACAAGGGTAAAATTGACGCAGCAAGATATTAAGAGCCTCACAAATGTCTAAACTTGCATATTCCTCGGCGACTTTCAGTAAATGAATCCCGGATAGATTTCACCATAGAACAAACAGCAGAAACTCCAAACAATTCTGTGTTCTGTTCCTGTGAAGTGTTTTAAATGTCATGATTATCAATGATGATGGCTAAAAATTTAACAACGAGGCTCTTACCACTTCAGATAGCCGTTCCTCGAAACTTCCGGCGGCCGTATCACTGCTCATGAATATCTTTCTGTATGCTTTTCTGATTGTCTGGACCTTCATTATCAAAGATATACGAATCAAGAACCAGCAAAAATAAAGGATTACAATAACATTACATACGAAATAAAGTCCTACAACATTTGCTTTATTAGGCAATAATTAAAAAATGACGAATTTTGGTTATAAGTGTTCGCGTTAATGCGTATAGTAGTACTCGAATGGTTGGATATCATGAATTCATTGTCGCTCCTATCAAAACAACAAATTTAAGAAAATTGCATCCCTCAATTCCTCTCTACTCTCTAACGAGATTTTCTTCGACTAAGCAAGCAATATGTCACAATGCTACGTCACTCTCTGAGTATAATGAATACTATAATCTTAAGCACCAAAACTAAACTTTGCAGAGGGAAAAAAAGCAATATTACTTGTCATTATATACATTTGATAATATAGAAGAAACATCAAGTATCTATTATTGATTCATTACCCAACCAATCTCCTCTAAAGAAGATTTGACCGCAGAGAAAGCAAATAGAAATGGAATTTAATATAATCGTTGGGTTAAGGGCACAAGTTTTCCGCGGTTAGATGCACATGATATTGATATCACACACATAACTTTAATTTCACGATATAATTTGATTTTATGCTACTACAGTCATACTTTGTCTGTTGGCAGTTGGGAAGAAAGTATTAGTTGAGGCCTTATGAAAGTTATGGAATGTTTGTGAAAGTAAATTCTACAGAAAAAAATGTATAAGTTGAAAGAAAAGTCTTCAAATATACCATAAAAAGTGAAAAATGAAAAAAAAAAAAATACCTCTTCACTTGAAAATCCATTTCGTCGAAGACCCTCAAGATTCAAGCCACGAATTTCTGCTCTATCTCCGGAAACCATCATATATTTTGGAACATCTTGTGAAATCTAGAAAAGAGGAAGCAAGTTGCGTGCATAATTTAGAAATGAAAGAACTTGATAAATGGTGTAGAAATTGACCATCACAACTTCGAATTTCATGGTGCTACTATAACTTCATAATTCCTGATTAAATATTTCATGCATACTTTAAAATTGGCATATCATGGTTCTTATAAGCGCTCAAGCATGTAGTTTTTGGGATAGGAACTCAGAACAAAAATTGAATTGATCTGAATGGTAACTGGATAAAGATGGATTGCTGAAGGTGCAAAAAATGACTACAATTGAAGTTATAAATTTGCTTATGAAAAACTTCAAAATAACAAATAATAAAAAAAAATCAACATAGAGAAGTATGGGCGTATGGGTGAATGTGGCAGTGCTTGTAAACCTAAGTAAATCTCCTTTGCATATATACCCTTATAAAATCATCTATATTGTCATTTGAACTGTGTGCAATGTTTCAAACTGCTGATTACCATTATACTTTAACTGGATAAAATTGAATTGCATTGTTTTGCATTCAAATTAAAAATATGTATCAAATGTTTCAGACAATAAATTGAAAGGTATAAGTATATCGAAGTATAAAAAAATTAAGATATGTTAAAGTTCTTATAAATAAATGATGACAAATTGATTAATATTAGATGCAATTGTGGAATGACAAAAGAGCTTTCTTGAAATAAGAGTTTTCAATTACAATAAAATTATACCAAAGGTTAGCATTAAGTTCATATCTTTTTGTATTGGTTATGACACTGCTTAAAAAAGATATACGGTGAGATATTTTAGACTTTTTTTTCTTTGGAAGAAAACGTGGTTTTAATTATTGAAAAAAAATAAAATTGGAAAAAGAATGGAATATATGCTGTTTAATTCTAACGATTGTGACATTAGCAATTATAAGTCAATATTATTTAAATATAAAATTATATTTAAGTGTGAAATTTTTAAGTAGCTTAGATATAAAATATAAAAAAATAAATAATAAAGATGAGAATATATATTTTAAATTAAAGGCTGGCGAGTTATAATGATGATGTTCCTCAAGAGGGCTATAATCAAAAGAATCATAGGGACATGAAAATTTTATGAAGTTGCAATTAAATCAACCAGCTTATATTAATTTTGGTGCTGGACCGTAAGAAAATCATCAATAGCTAAGTTGGACGTGGCAAAAAATAATATAATAATATGGATCTATCACAATATTAGAAATGATAAGTTAAAAAATGATTATATTCGAGAAACATTTAAAGCATCATTATTATAGATAGCAGTAGAAACAAAATTAAATGATTTAGAAATGTACAATAAAACATATGAAATCTATTCACTAGATAGATCAAAAAAATTAATAAATTGGTGTCGGATGATTTAAAAGGAAAAAAAAAAGATGCACAAGGAGAAAAAACATTTTTTTTTTCTAAATGATTTGTGAAGAATAGATTTCACCTCATGTAATACTAAGCATAAGCAAATGGAAAATGAGTATTCAGAAAGCTAAAACCGAAATAGTTGTGGTAAGTCTACTGATGATTAAGACGCAATGCTTAAAACTGTGGGGGCTCCGAAAAATTTGCTGCCTTGGTCCTCTCGAAAATAACTGACAACAAAAGGGTTTACTTGGGGTTCCGAGTAAAATTTTCAGAAAGAAAATGAAATTATAGATATGAAAACATAGAGATTTCACCATTATTTTGTGAGGATATTTTGATTTGGGATTTGAGTTTTCCCATAAGCGCAAATTCTATGATGACTTACCTCTTTTGATAATGAGAGAATACTTTCGATTAAGGCTAACCGTTAGAGCACTGATTACTCAACATACAGTAGCAGCAAATTGGGGTTTCATGTTGAGAAATTTGACTTAACTTTAGAGTATAAAAATTTATCACTACATGCTTTAAATGCATATTGTTGGGGAAATGATGGCGCACTCGATCAAAATCTCATGGTTTCGTCATCCTAAAATGTCATGGATCCTTGTCTACTTATTCAGGAAGTTGACTCAACTTGACCGAAGAATCCTTGTCAGCAACTAAAAGTTCTTTAGTCCAAAAGGATCTTATAAACCTGGGGTGAATGTTTGTATAACGAGACTAATTTGAGTCGAACTTAGCTAACGGAAAGATTTGTGTCCTATCAAATATACCCTATGATTCATGACTAAAAAAAAATGCATTAGGGAACATATGGGCTACATTTGTGACTGTAATTTAATGATGTCATTTGGCGGTAACCACCCGATCAGAGGGCTCAGGTCTTAATTGTTTTTTTAGGGAGTTGGCTGACTAAGCCACGTGGACAGAGGACACGGATCATGTCCTCACTGTAATCTAAGAGTAAATTTAGTAGTATATATAATGTGACACTGCTCTATATGAGTTTAAATCAATCATAAATTTATTGTTTTCAATAAACTAGTGTGAAGAGTGAACTGATTTTACTTTTCATTTTTTTATGATTTTTAATATTTAATATTTTATAATTTTTATGAATTTTAGAATTTTATTAAATTTTATGAGCATTAAACTTTGTCAACTTTGCATCTTGCCTGCAAAGGATGAGGTTTGGGATTGACACATGTTTGAATTAGAACATTGTCGACTTCGCCCTGCTTGCAGAAAATCGGGTTCATAAATTATATGAATTGAATTTCAAATAGAATTCAATCTAAACATTAAAAGTGAACCCCTCCAGTTGAAATCTTCTATCAACTCAGCCATCATAAGGAAAAAATTATATTCTTCAGTAAAATGATTCATGATTTTTATGGGTGAAACACCCCATTTATTATATGTGACTAATATTCATTCATTAGTCAGACTTGCCGACTTAAATCCTTCCACGGAGAATGATCAAACTAACACTCAATCTCGTCAACTCCAATTACTATTAGGAGGAGAATCAAACTATGCTAGTGGGACTAGCGACTTTGCATATAGGCATAATGACCCAATCAAAAGCGTGCATAATTTGATAGTCATATCTAATTTTGAAAAGATGAATTTTGTAAAGTTTGCAATTTGCAAGTTTTTTAAAGCATAAACAAAACGAGTGCTTTGATAATTTAGCATGCTTTTGAAATAAAATAATTTAATATTCAATTCATTTTAAGCCTCTACAACATTCTTGAACCGTACGACTTACTTAGCTCGAAAAAGTGATGAAAGTTTATGCTTGCTTTTGATAGAGAAACCTAACCATAAGGCATTAATTTAATGTCTTTGTGTTAGATGGGCTTGGTGTTGATTATTGGCCTGATTGGTCTTTCTCAACTTGATGAAAGAAATGACCTAACTTGCATGGATAGACTTTTTAGGCAAATGAGTGCACCTTTAGCCCCTGCCTTCTGCATTGGCAGAATTATTGAAGAAATGCATGTCAGCTACCTAAGCCCTAGGGCTAGTAAAAAGTTAATGGCAAGGTGTCGTCATCCCAGCATTGAGTGCTTAAATGGACTCATTGACGACAAAATTCCTCAGTTGAGCTTCAGTCTTTGTATGAACACTGATGTAGAATCTTTTGTCCTATGCTTAATGCTTTATCGGTCTATGCTTTGTGCTTTGATATCACAATTTGGTGATGCTATTCAATTTGATTGATGTTTCTATAAATAAGAATCATCTCCTTGGATGTTATCTTAATATGTTGACCACTTGAGAAAATTTGATGAATATGGATTACTTAACCTTGTTAACTTGGATTGGCTTGGGTTGGATTTTTATCATTGTTAGACTGATAAATAGAGCAATTCACTATAGCTTTAGCTTTTTCAGTGAAAAAAGAAGCTAACAACTCAACCACACCTTGTCTTGTTGAGTGTGGCCAGTTATAAACAAGCAACAGACTGATATTATCGTATTGAGAAGAAGCGACCCGGTCACATATTTGCTTGTTTAGTCCAATCTTCATTAGAGTCCTAGACTTAAGTAGTAGACTGACAAACGAAGGTACATCACTACGGCCTTAGTTTATTGAGTGAAGAGAGAAGCCAACAACTCAACCACATCTTGACTTATTGAGTTTGGCCTCCATTTGAGTCATAAACTTAAGCAAAAGATAACTTATTGATACTGGATTTAACCCAAACGAAAATAGATAAACAAATGTTATTACTGATAAAGCCAATAGGCTATTACAACTGATAAATTGAAAGGGAAATAACAAGACATAATAATCACTCAACTATGATTGTATGCTGAAGTGAAGATGGGTGGTTATGTAGGGATGGGAGGTGGCAGTTCAGACTGGTAGTGGCAGCAGAGGGGAGGGGGGTGTCAAGCTTATGGTTATGGTGGCAGAACATGACGACATGTTCAGGGCGCCTGGAGTGTTGGATTAGAGGGGGAAAGAGTAGGGTAGAAGTGGGATACCAGAGAATAGTTGTGGATAGAGTAAGCATGTTGGCAGAGACGGCGAAGAAATGGACAGTAAGAACAACTGTCAAAACAAAAAAATTGGGTTGTTTGGCATTGGCAACGACAAAGTGGAAAGGTGGACATCATCACAACAGTGGCAGAGATGAGCAAGGGCATTAGGAATGGTTGGACAGGCAGAGAGGAGGGTTTGGTGGTTGCAAAAAATAGCAGAGCTGCTATCCTTGGGCGGAATATAGCAAGTTTGACAACTGTGATAGTGGAAGGAAGGTTGCGGAGGATGGGACGAGGATAAATGCTTGCACGGAAACGATATATAGTCGGAACATCGCCCGATTCTTGGGTGCAAGTCACCACCTCGAAACGAGATACAGTCAGAGCACCATTCATCCTCGGATACAGCACAAGAAGGAAAAACAAAGATGTCGATAGCTGTCCAGACAAAAACACCAACAAAAATACAACCTAAAAAAGGAAAATATCATATTTAAAGGCTTAAGATAATAAGAGTGGACCCTACTCCAAGTAGGAAAGAAATCCATGTAAATGAAGAGTCGATCGGCCCTCCTGGACCAGTCCCAGCCGTGATCTCTTGCTACATGACGCGGTACTATAGCATGA